GGGTTCTAGGGAACAGCCTGTTCCTTGTCTCTTTCAGCTTCTGGTGGCTGGCGGCAGCTATGTGTCTCTTATAAGGACACTTGTCATTGGATTTAGGGCCCACCAAGATAATCCAGGATGATCGCCTCAACTCAAGATCCTTAACTTAATCACATCTACAAAAACCCTTTTTCTGAATATGGTTGCATTTATGGGTTCCGAGTATTAGAACATGTACCACATATCTGTTGGGGAAGGGGGGCAGGTCATCATCCAACCCACTGCAGGGTGCCGTATGTTTGATAAATTAAAAAATGACTGGGCGCCTGGGTGGCTCAGTTGGTTAAGCGACTGCCTTCGGCTCAGGTCATGATCCTGGAGTCCCTGGATCGAGTCCCGCATCGGGCTCCCTGCTCGGCAGGGAGTCTGCTTCTCCCTCCGACCCTCCCCCCTTTCATGCTCTCTGTCTCTCATTCTCTCTCTCTCAAATAAAAAAAAAAAAAAAAAAATGACTTACTGCAGGGGCACCTGGGTGGCTCAGTTGGTTGTGTCCGGCTCTTAGTTTTGGCTCAGGTCATGGGATCAAGCCCCGCATGGGACACTGCACTCAGTGGGCAATCTGCCTGAAGATTCTCTCCCTCTGTCCCTCCTTCCCTACTTGTGTGCATTCTCTCTCTCTCTCTTACAGATCTTGTTAAAAAAAATTACTGCAGGAAGCAGAGAAGAACTAAAGTGGCTAGAACTAAAGTATACACCTTAGTTTTTTTTTTAAGATTTATTTATTTGACAGAGCACAAGCAGGGGGAGGGACAGAGGAAGAGGGAAAGAGAGAGTCAAGCAGACTCTGTGCTGAGCATGGAGCCCAGTGTGGCGCTCGATCTCATGACCCTCAGATCACCACCTGAGCTGAAACTGAGAGTTGGACGCTTAACAGATTTAACCACCCTGGTGCCCCAATTTTTTTTTTTTTTAATGCTGGCTATTATATTAAATCCTTTCGCATGAACTGTTTCATTTGAGCACAGAATAGTGTGGTAGCAAGAGAATTGGATTTAGAGTTAGAAGACTTGGATCTGATACCTCTTAACAAATTCTGTGACTGTCACAAGTCCCTTAACTTTTCTGAGCTGCTTTTTTCTCTCTATACAATGAAAATATTTGCTCTCACAGCATGTTGGAGGGGCCAGTGACATAATAAGGCACTATAACAAATAAACTGGTTCCCCGATCAGACAGAAGCTATAGGGTGAGAGTGGGGCAGATACCTAGTTTCACTCTGTATAATCTCAGGAAACCCAGGCTCTGGGCATCCTCAGTGACTCCAAGAACACTCGATCTTGGTGTGGGTGACATGGAAGTAAGATCGTGCTGTTTAGTTTTCCAGTCTGATTAGTTCATACTTTCCCTGTTGAGGATGGTACTGGGTGGCTGCTGACAGGGATGCCCACTGGTGAGCCAGGAGTTGGGGCAACCCGCACCTTGCTCTTCATTATCAAAGCATAAATGTCTGTCTTGCTGCTAAAAATGAGCAGCAGTTGGGACTGCACAGCTGTGTGTCATACCCCTTCTGTGAGCGCTCACTTGCTGTGCCCTTCCTTCTTCCTTCTTCCATCCTTACCAGTACTCACTATGGCTTTTTTTTGTAAAAGCGTGCCTTACCGCTCTCTTCAGTTTTCTGGAGGGAAATCTGAAAAGGGCTGGCAAAATATTCTTCCACACTTGCTCAAGGCCTCTTGTCCAGACTGAACTTGGAAGGAAGAGGCAGCTTGCACCTGCTGAGAGACAGGGGCTGTATGGGCTGGTCTAGTGCATGGTTTCCATTGGCCACGGGTCCATGAAAAGTTCTTTGATCTCCAGGTTGGGAAATGAGCGGTCCAGGCTTAAAAGTGGGCCTCATGTCTCCAAAAACAAAAGTATCTGCTGTCTCCCTGTCACACCACCAGAGAATACCTTTAGAGAATCACTCTTAGAGACTTAGGGACTCGGGAGCCTCTTGAACAGCGGCAGGGGACTAGTTCCATGGACCGCTGCCCATGTGAGCCTTTGAGAGTTCCATACCTCCCCTGCATCCCACCTCACCATGCTCCTGTCACTACAGGGTGGCCTGTCCCGCGTCTCCCGTTCCCAAAGCAGGAGTCCTTGCCCATCCTCCCCACTTCACCCCCACTGCGCTTTGCACATCGAATTCTCTCTCCTTCCCGCTGCACACTTGCCCTCTGCCTTGCTCTCTCACCCATTCCCAGGCCACCTGTGGGGTGCTGCCCCTCACCCCTCAGCTCCTACCATTGTCTGCTCAGCCTGCCCTCACCCAGTCCCTGCTTCTCTCCATCACACAGGCCATCAGTCCTGCATTCCTCCCTTCAAAATCTTTCACCCAAGTCCCGACCCCATTCTGTGTGTAAGGCTCATCCAGACTCTTTGCTGTGAGTCTTTTCAGAGAGACCGTGGGTCACGTGGCTATTACTTGAGCACCTTTTTTTTTTTTTTTTAACGTTTTTGAGCCTGTTGTTCCTCAGGAAATGCAGGCAACAGCTAATAAGGTGATACAGGTACCTCAGGGAGTGGCGAGTATGAAGATGCTACCTATAAGTGGTAGCTCCTAGGAATAACGGGGATGACACTTGTATTATTTTCTGATTGCTTAACTCCGGCTGGGCCTTGTGCGTAGGATAGTCTGCTCTTGTCCTATCTCCAACCCGCTCCTTCACTCCTTTGCACATCATCCAAAATCCCAAGTCATTCACAAGTTTGTCTCAGTTGACTGGAAGGTTTCAGGGTTTTTGGCCTGCTCCTTCTGCAGGCTTCCCTGGATGCGCGGCCACGCTGTATGTGTGTGGGCTATAGGACATACAACATATTGCATAGTAGCTCCTGGAATCTCCATGTCACTCCCTAGATGGATGGGCTCTCCATCGCTGCCTGCATGTGCCCCAGCCCTGTGGCACTGGGCCCAGCAGCTTGGCTTCGATGCTCAGTTGGTGTGAGGGGGTGGCAGTGTCCGCCCCACAGTGAGTCCAGTTCCTGCCCTTTTGTGAAGCAGTTTGACCAAGCTGTCCCCCAGTGGACGCACCTTGGGGGCTCCTGTGCTGGACTCTTGCCTTTTTGCATTATAGAGTACAGAAAAGTGGGCCTGAGAGCCCCCGACTTGTCCTTTTTATTCTGAGGCATAATGGTGATATATTTTGCTTTCTAAAAATTGTCCCCCAAAGTCAGTAGACCACCTCTTTCTCTGACTCTTGAACTTCTGGAGTGCTCTTCACTGACAACCCAGTAGTGAGGGGCTCCTGTCCCTGGGTCCTGGGTCAGGGAACAGACACTGGAGATAGGTGGTGTGAGGCTTGAAGCTTCGTGTGTCATTTCTTTTTTTTTTTTTTAAGATTTTATTTATTTATTTGACAGAGACACAGCGAGAGAGGGAACACAAGCGAGGAGTGGGAGAGGGAGAAGCAGGCTTCCCGCGGAGCAGGGAGCCTGACGAGGGGCTCGATCCCAGGACCCCGGGATCATGACCTGAGCCGAAGGCAGATGCTTAATGACTGAGCCACCCAGGCGCCCCTCGTGTGGCTTTCTTAAGACGGACCTTTTTCTAAACAGTGACCAAGAACTCCCCTTAGGTTATCTCCAGTACTGCTCTCTACATTGTAATTGATTGGTAGCTATCAGTCCCATCTCCCAAATTTACAAGACTGGACCTCAAGCATTCTTACTTCCAGCTTTCTCAGAACTGTCTAGAAACCTGTATTTAGTTTCATACAACTGACCTTACAGAGATACCGAAGTCCCTAGATTTAAAAACAAAATACCATAGATTCTCTTTCCTTATTCTATAGAGAGTATAATTTGCTGAGAGAGAGAAGCATGCGCTTCAACCCTAGTGTGTGCCCATTAAAGTATTCTCCTTTGTTTGTAGCTCTTTAAAACCAAGCCCAGCAGCCAAACCACTGAGTTTAAGAACTAATAAATATTCATCATATCTAAAGCAAGATTGGCAAACTACAACCTGTGGACCAACTCTGGCCCATCTCCTGGTTTTGTATGGACTGCAGGCTAAGAATGGTTTTCACAGTTTAAATGGTTGGGGGAAACTCAAGAATGTTTATATTTCATGAAGATTATGTGAAATTCACATTTCAGAGTCCATAAATAAAGATATATTGGGACACAGTCTCTCATATTTGTTATCTGTGACACTTGTATGTCATCTGTGACTGCCTTCATGCTACAATGACAAAGTTGAATAGCTGTGACAGAGACCATATGGTCTGAAGGTCCAAATATTTACTGTCTGGCTCTACAGAAAAAGTTTGCTGAAAGTCCTGAAGGCTCAGTGTGAAACTGCAGACAGGAGGTATTTTACTGTTCTTGTGTCTGGTGTCTCCTCTCGTTAATTTCAAACCAGTAGGAAGAGATGAAGGGGTCATCTGTTTTTCTCGCAAGCCCCCCGCCTCCCCACCACAGTGTTTCATGGTGGGGGCTAGAAGGAGATACGTTTTTGTGAACAGGACTTGGAACTTCTGATCAGAATCTCTTTTTGATGTTGATTTCACAGTTGTGACCAATATCCTTTCACACATACCCTCCCACGAAGCCCCTGTGTGAAGCTCAGTCTTGACTGAGTTGGAATCCTTGGACTGTGCACTAACTTGCTGTAAAAGTCCACTCCATCCCATGTGGCCTGTGCTTGGTATTTTGTGTCCTCAGGAAGATGTATGACAAGCCACTGTCCACCCAGACTAACCAAAACAAATGTTTTCTTCTAGGGTGTTTTTCTTGTAATTGCTTCTTACAGCTACCTGCCTGTACCAGGGTTTAGGGTAGTCATTCGCTCCATAGATTGCCCCATTATCCTTCCTCCTCCCAAAAAATGAAAATCTGGACATAGAGGTTATTACAGATTATTGCTCTGTTGGTATTTCAGATCCTTCGGAGGGTTAGGTATTTGTATTTAGCAGCCCTGGGCATTGACTTGATCCCTTTCTCCCTAGTACACTTACCTTAATACTTTAAATCTCCTTCCACAGGTCAGATACCAGGTCCAGGTTCCATGATCCCTGGGCAGCCCATGCCAGGCCGCATGATTCCCACCGTTGCAGCCAACATCCACCCCCCCGGGAGTGGCCCAGCCCCTCCTGGTATGCCTCCAATGCCAGGAAACATCTTAGGACCCCGGGTACCCCTCACGGCACCTAATGGCATGTGTAAGTAGCATGATGGGGGGAAGCATCACCGTAGGGTCTCTCTGGGCGGGCGGGAGACAAGGGACGAAGGCTTTATTCTCTAGGTGATCTGTAGTTTGGCAGGTCCATGGACAGTGCAGCCTGTGGCAGTGGGTTCCAGAAGATCGGTTTGTGGTCAGTGCTCTTCAGCACCCCTGATGAGCAGGTGCACAGGTGGTGAGTGCAGATGCTTACAGTTGTTTGGCCGTGTGTACCATAGCCTTTGTGGCGTGCACTCGCGCCCCTGAGGTCTGTGGGGAGGCCAGGAAGACAGTCCTCACCCACTCCTCTTTAAGCCTTAGGTCTAGCTTGAATCTCGTTAGACATACCGAGTTGCTGGTGGTTTTCCTACAGGAGCCTTTTTTGGACACCGGGTTCAAAATGGGAGGGTGCGAAGAAAGAAATAAGAACCGGTTTAAGGCAGAAATCACAAGTCTCTCGTAGCTACTCTGGGATCTTGGTAGTAGCGGCTTAGACTCGGGAAGGCGTATTGAGGGGCTATGTTGAGAGGGAATGGGAGGTCCTAGCAGGCTCTGTGGAGAAGGCACGGCTGCTGCTGAGCAGTGTCCGTGTGACATACGTATGAAGCCCAGGGCTTTTCTCCAGTACACCGTGGTCTCCCCCAGTCCTAGCCTCCAGAGCGTTGCTTCAGAAGCTCTGCCCTGCCCTTAACTCCTGTCGATCTTCTCGGAACGATCCCAAAATGCAGCCAGTAGTGGCCAGGTACCCCAGCCACATCTGTGATCTTGGTTCATTTACAAGTTCATTTATGTGCCAAGGAGATAGCTCCTGTTCACAGTACAGAGCTAGGACTCCAGAAGTCCTGGTGTCCAGGAGCTTTAGTTGGGAAAACAAGAAATGAACAAGTAGATAGTAGTATATAGGATTTACAAGTTATCTGAGATTCTGAAGTGCTTTGAGTGCACTGTAGCACTCGGGGAGACCTCCCAGCGCCAGGAGGCAGGCTGCACAAAGGCATGTCTCATTTCTCTCTGGGCCCCTAGGGGCTAGGACAGAGTAGGTGCACGGAAGAAAGACAGCAATATAGCTGGGTGTATAGGATCGTAACAGTAGAAAAACATTTCCCTTGAGGCCTTGGTCAACGATTGTAGTGTAGCGGATACTTCTCTTCCTTGGCAGGACACACTTGAGCTCACTGCCTCACAGGCATGTACGGATGTGCCAGTCTGCCAAGACGGCTGATCAGTTTGCCATCTTAGTTGCAGAGATAATATCCTTGGTCTTTACCACCGTCCAGGATTTCATCCTGAAGGGCCCTGAGGGGAGCACCTTGAGAATGTGGAGGGTTTCAGGTGCCCCCCCCCCCTTCCTGCCACAAATGAGTGTTTCCAGGATTCTGAGCCACTCACGTGGCTGTAGGTCCCAGGCAGGCCTCATTGGGTGAGGTGGTTCCCCTCTTCAGGTCTTAGTTTCCTCCACTGGAAAGATGACCCAAGGGATTAGATCAGCGGCCTTCAGAATGCTTTGAAGAGCTCTGTCAGTTTGGTGGAAATCTCTTGGGGGGAAGGGTGGGTGAACTGACTGGTAAGCAAGGCTGTACTTGAATTCTTTGTTTTCATATGTTTCCGTTTCTGACAAAATCAAGAGGTTTAAAAAACCCTGGATTAAATCATCTCTAGGGTTCCTTTGTATGCTAAGCAGCTAAAGTTGAAATAGGAAAGAGCCCCAGACACTCATACTAATTGTTCCTTCAGGACCTGACCTAGTTTTGGCCAAAAATCCAAGGACTGCAGTTCAGGAGCTGTGGGGCCTCCCAGGACTGTCCAGCTTGTCAGCAGCTGCCTCGAGTGAAGCTCTCTGGCCCTGGTGGAGACACTTAATCAGCAAGAAGTTATTGATAATCTGTTTTGTGCCCACCTAGGCCAGGCACTGAGAGAGAAAGAAAAGAAGACACAGAACTTGCCCAGGAAGGAGCTTTATCATTTAACTGAAGAAATAAAATTAGCAGAGAGAACCATTAAAATGCAATAAAATCAAACTATAATTAAGTTCTGCAAAGGTCTGGAGTGATTCTTGGAAGGGCTGGGCCGCGGAGGCGGTTGGGACAGATTCAGACACCTCACCAGGCGAGCCGCGCGACCCGGGGCTTCCGGGGGACCTCACCCGCACGACCCGCGGTGGCAGCCGCGCCTCGAAGGCTGCGTGGGTTGCCTGCCTTTACGTAAAGAAAATTACTTCCTCGGCCCTTTCTCTCTGACTGGGCTCTTTCCCAAGCCCTTGTGTTTCCAGCAATGACGAGTCCCTCTTGGCTGTGTTTGCAGATGCCCCTCCGCCGCCGCCGCCACCGCCGCCGCCGCCGCCCGCCGATGGAGCCCCTCCGCCTCCCGCTCCAGGCCCGCCCGCCTCGGCCGCCCCTTAGCCCGGAGGATGCAGGCAGCGTCCACGCCCAGCGCCGGCAGCTGCAGGGGGATGACGAGACTTGTGCTCCGCGGCTTCCTCGGGTTTCTTTTAGGATTTTTCTTCTCGCGGCCCCAAGCACGCATCCTGTATTTCCCCGTCCCTCTTGCCAGCCCTCGCCGTGCTCTGACGCGTGCTGTGTCAGGTCCTCCGCCGGCACCGGGGGGGTGGGGGGTGGGGGCGGTAGCCTGCGTCCCCCTGTCCTGGTGTGGGGTATACTGACCGTTTCTCCGCGGGTCCTGTCAGCACGAGAAGTTCATGTCTATTGTTTTGGTGCTCTCCCCGCAGTGTTTGGCTTTGTCTGATGCTTATGTGGCTCATGCTTTATAATCATTTTTTTTTTTCTTTTGTCATTGTTGCTTTAAACGAGAGCATCCTAAGTTCATAGGAACCAAAAAAAAATGGTAATGGGCAGAGGAAGTAGCCAGAAGGGACAAACCTAAAGGCATTATAAGTGACCTTATTTCTGCTAATCTGAGCGAAGATTGGTGCTGATGGTGAAGTTTCATGAGACTTTTGCCCCACATAGACGCACCAAAATTCAAAGAGATGGGGACGGGGGGACCCCACTGATTTTATTCCTGGTGAGGAATGGGAGGACCCCCGCCCCCGTGGCCCCTTTAGTACCTGGTAGGGGAGCGCAGAAGCGTTAGAGCAGACCTCCTCCTCTGCCGGGCCCACTGGTTCTGGCTTATTGTACAGGTGATTTGTTGGGTTAGGGGTGGGATCTGGGGAGGCGTTTCTTCATTCCCTAGACTAGCCAGGAACATTTGAGAGTCTAGGGACATGACTACCCACTGAGTCTAGTCCACTAGTCACTGCTTTGTACTCATTCTTTTTTTTCCTCCCCCTCTTTAAAAAAAACCTTTAAAAAGGACAAAAAAAGTAAGTAGATAGTGCTAAACATTTTAGCTCATGGAACTTGGTTTAGGATGGCTGGGGGTTCAAGTCCCCGAACTACCTCTTGCAGTCCAGGGTGAGTGGGGTTTAGTGAAGCGGTACTTTAGGTTTGGGATGGGATTGGAGAAGTGGGGCAGAATCAAGGGCCTCGTCCCTTCTCCCTTCCCTTTCTGACATCTCACATTCCATCTGTCGCAGGGTTGTCAGGGAGATGCTGGGGGGTTCCAAGGCACTCAGTTGGCAATCAGAGCGTCATGCTTTGAGGGTTGGGGTACTCGGACTGAGAGATCGGAATGCCATTCCAGAGGAGGAGCCACAAACATGCCTTAACTCGAGCCCATTTCTACCCCTGCTGATGAATTACTTGAGAGTTTTGGTTCTCTCTTCCTGTCCTTCTTCCCTCCCCTCTATCCTTCCATGGATGGGGGAAGGGTGTGTTTGGTGGATCTTGATTTCCAAAGCACCTGGCCTCTTCATGTCACATTCTCAAGTGGCAGTTTTATTATTTAGAATGCAAAGTGGAACACCTTTTGGATATCTTTTTCTATATATTCTGTAAAGCTTTACATACGAGAGGGTGTAGGGAGGTGTTTGTAAAACACCTCAGAACTTTCTTCCTTAGTATCAGAAAGCAAAAAAATAAATAAAACCACAATTAAGATTTGCCTTTCAAACCCTCAGGTGTTGCCTCTAACCAGGTGGCCCTGGTCACCATCCGAGTACTGGAACCAAGGAGACCTTGTTCTTTTGTGTGTGTGTTCTGGACTCTTGGAGTGGAAATGAGCTTGTTCCTGCTGGAGTTGAGTTCCAATGCATTTGCCTCCAGAAAGATCCCAGTGCCTTTTGACAATGGTCAGGGTGTTCCCTAATTCCCGCCAGTCTTTCCCAAAGGAAACTCATTCCAAATACTTACCTTTTCCACTGGGGTCTTAGAAGGAAAATGGAATTCTGGTTCATACTGTGGTCCCTTGTAACCTCAGGTCTTTATTGTGATCACTTTCAAATTTAAAAGATCCAGGTGGAAATATTTTTACTATGCTGATAACAATTCTACAGAATACCTGAATTCTTAACACTGTTATGTTTCAATATAAGTGGTGACTTTTTCTTTTCATGTCTTTGATCTGGTTTCGTTCCTGTAATAAAGCCACCCAATTTGAGGGGGTGGGGGTGGGAATAATACGTGGTTTTTGTACAAACGTGTTTCTCAGTGTGTTATTTTGGAAAAATGAAGGGAGGGGAGTTTTGGGAGATTAGAGGAAATTGATCAAGAAGACCTAATCTCCCTCTTTTTTAGTGAATAAATAGAACATTTCTGGATTCTAGTCCCATTCTCTGCATTCACACACCAATCTCTTCATGTGTCCTATGAGGAGCCTAAATATTCAGCCCCACCTGGTCCTGGTCCGCAGTGAGTTCAGCAATTCGGGGCTTTCTGACCGACCACCTTGATGATGCTTAAGGAAGATACAGTTAAATGTGCCTTGCCCACTCTTTTCCATGGTCAAAGTGAAGAAAGAAGTGTGGCCAACATCCTGGCACCTCCAAGAGAATGAATAGTTTTGTTTGGCAAGCTAGAGCATGTCTGTCAGGATGCAGTTTAGACGGCCCTAAGTTGGAGGCAGGCCTTGAGGGCAGTTGGTTCCATGAACCTGGATGTACTTCTAAGGACAGCCTTTGAGCACCCACAGGCACAAACCCTGTGCAGAAAACAGGAAGAAGCCATTGCCTTCGAGAGGCACATGAACCCAGTGAAGCAAAACCGGTGGATTCTGTGCAGAGTTGTGACCGCTTGACTCCTTGCAGAGGTGTGCTGGCCGCGTTGTGTTCTGCTGCCCAACCTGTTCCAACTTACCTGTAGTACACGGTGCTAGGAGCAGCAGGGTCTCCCAGAGTTCCTGTACTTCCCCAGGGTGATGAAGGAGGTTAATCCTTGACCCAAACTAAAGACTGGTCTATAAACTTGAGTGTGAGTTCTTTTTAAAGTATAACAGGACATGTATAATCAACCAGTCTTTCACAGGTTCCTCAGATCCTTACTGTGGAGTGGTTCCCCCAAATGTAGTTAAGGACAGTAGTTTGCCAACCTCAGGACAGATCAGGATCACCCATAGGATTGTTCACAGACAAGCTGCTCAGCCCCACCCTCAGAACTGATTGAGCAGGTCTGGAGTGAGTTCTGAAATACTGTGTTGTTTAGAGGGGGACAGAGGGAGAAGGAGAGAGAGAATCTTAAGTAGGCTCCATGCTGAGGCTCAGTCTCACCACCCTGAGATCATGACCCGAGCTGAAATCAAGAGTCGGATGCTTAACCAACTGAGCCACCCAGGCGCCCCTGAAATACTGTGTTTTTAACATTTCCAGGGGGTCCTGATGCACCTGGGCAAGGGACTACCCTTTGAGAACCACTAGTTAGGAAGGTTGTGTGGTACAGCAAGATCTCTGTGGTTCCTGACAGTTCATTCTTTTTTTTTTTTTTTTTCAATTTGACAGAGACACAGCGACAGAGGGAACACAAGCAGGGGGAGTGGGAGAGGAAAAAGCAGGCTTCCCACCGAGCAGGGAGCCCGATGCATGGCTCGATCCCAGGATCTTGGGATCATGACCTGAGCTGAAGGCAGACGCTTAACAACTGAGCCACCCAGGCGCCCCGCTGACAGTTCAATCTATGCGTTCCATTCGTCCAGTAAACATTTGAGGGCCTCTTAGGTGCCAGGCATTTGACCTTGCATGCAGTGAAGTCATAATTATGAATAAGGTAGGCAAGGCCCCTGCACTCCAGGCCACTTACATTCTTGTGGGGTGGGGGATACAAGACAATAAATAGTAAGAAATAGGATTATTTTGGGGGCGCCTGGGTGGCTCAGTCGTTAAGCGCCTACCTTCGGCTTGGGTAATGATCCTGGGGTCGAACCCCGCATTGGGCTCCCTGCTCAGCGGGGAGCCTGCTTTTCCCTCTCCCACTCCCCCTGCTTGTGTTCCCTCTCTCGCTGTGTCTCTCTCTGTCAAATAAATAAATAAAATCTTAAAAAAAAAAAAAAAGGATTATTTTAGATAGTGCCAAGTAGTCGTGAAGAAAAACCGTGTAATCAAAGAGCTTTCTGGGGGATAATGTAAATAGTCTGTGAATTGGATGTGTTTACATGATTTCTGTCCTGGGTGTGGTAACCTGAGGGTTCACCTTCATTCCAGGAAGACCTCATCTGAATAATCAGAGCACCCCTTTGGATACACAGTGCCTGCCCTGAGATTTCCTTCTGCAAACCTCTCTGCCTGTGACCTTTAGTTAACCCTGCTTTCTCTTCTCCGGCTCCTAGAGCATAGCTGCACTTCACTTGGTCCTGTTGAAGGAGGACTTACTGGGAACAAGGTGAAAGCATCTTGCTCCGCTGTGAATGGATGGTCTCCATCTAAGGAAATCACCTTGCAGAATAGGATGGAAGCCCAGGACCCTCAGTGTTGGATCTCCTTGTGAATAGCTCCCCTGGACTTCATTTCCTGGTGGCTTGTTTTTAGGCCTGCCACCTCTCTTTACTAGGAAGCACCTTTGACCCTGAATTTGAAACCGAACTGAGACAGTAGTGACCAAAAGGAGTCCTATGAATAGGCTTAACCAGAGGTTCCGAAACAAATTAGAGCTAGCTCTCTCTCCCCGAGACCCCCCAGCCCTTTCCAATCCATGGGACCCCAAGGGGAGAGAGACTTGTCTGATCCCCTCTTCCTGCTCCTGGCCTGCCTTGGAGAACTGGGGCCAGCTCTATTCCCTCCTGTCCCCAGAGGCCTTTCTAGGCCCTTCCAAGCCCTCGGAGAGCATTCAGGTGACTGCCGGCAGCCACCTTACCACTGCGGACCCTTAGGGTCTGCAAAATAGCCATGCCTTCATACAGTACCATGACCAACACCTTCCAATGACTTAGACCGGAAAGAAAATGCCTCCCACTCTCTCCTGTGGCAACCTACCAGCTCAGGTGCCCTCACAACCAGATGGTCCCAGAGGGAGTTACGAAGCAGCGGTGCCATTGGAAGGTAATAGCTCCTTTGCACGGGCTGATTTCCGTGGCTGGTTTGGCCCTGACACTTAACGGATTTCCCATAGTCATCCCAATGGAGTGGCATTCCTTGTTCCAGTCTGCTTATTGTGTAGTACCTATGGGTTTCCTGAGAACCACCTGGAGAGGTCACCTGCCGAGACAGCAGGACTCTTCCTGCAAACAAGCCTAGTTGATCCATGTCTGAGGCAGTGTTGGCTTGTGCTGTGTGGCTTTCTCCCAACTGACTTGGCTTTGGGGAAATGAAATTCAGGGTTTTTTCCCATCTTGCAGCAGACCCACTGCCACAACAAGATGACCACCTCCAGGTTGTGACATGCTTTTCTAGGAGTACTTGTGTGATTGAGAGTCCAGAGTTCTTGCAGCGAGGAGGTGCTTGTCAGCGCACATAACTCGGGCCCCTCACTCTTGGCTCTTCCCTTCTTCCTGGTAATGGTGCAAGAAGGTCCACTAGCAGCAGCCCATCACCAAAAATGGTCAGAGCTGACTGCCCCATAGTCCAGATCTCTCCTGGCAGGGCAGAGGCCGTGCTAGACGGCCCTTTCTGATTCTGACCTAGGATATGAGTCTGGATCATTGCCATGTTGTACCCTGTTAAGAAAGCATAGCATTGACCCTTAAATGCCCGGGTGTGGGGGTTGGGGAGAGAGGCAGGGCTTCCGTTCTGCCAAGTGAGGCCTGACCTCTGCATCCTGATTCCTCTTTTGAAATTAAGAAGCAAGAATGAAAACGTTTGAAATTAAGATCTCGGCTCAAGTCCTGGCCCTACCACGTCATGAGCATGATCTCAGTGTCGGTTTGCAAATGTGCAAAATGGTTAAGATATTTGTAGCATGATAGTGAGAAACAGGACAAATTAAGAGTACTAGGAAAACTAGAAACTCACAAAAATGTTAGTAGTTACTACTGAGGACTTAAAGCCAGGAACCATGCTGCTTCCTGTCCAGACTGAAGTATGGCCCCAGCCATGGCAACTGGAGCAGCTCCTGTCCTGGACAGCAGCCCCTAGTTAAGCTAGAGGCTTTCTATGCACAAGGAGGCAGGCTGTAGCCATGGCAGTGGGCCTTGTGCCTGCCTTGGCACCGGAGGCAGGTTGCCAAACCCAATAGGAACCTCAGAGGCATGTGGAAGCCATTGCCTCACAAAAGCATCCCTGATGCCCAAATGCACAAGACTTGAATGTGGGGACATGGGTGTAGGCTCTAGATAGAGGTTTAATTTCACTCTGCAGTTCCTACATCTTCGATCTCTTCTTTGGCCCACCCTAAGCCCTGGGCCCAGAAAAAGTACTGCAGTCACTGGACGCTGTGGTTACCCCGGTCTCATAAAGGAAATGGGTTACTGACTCCCAAGGTCACGCAGATCTGATGCCGATCCTGCTTTTCCTGTCACCCTCCATTGCCTGGTGAGCTTCTCCCATTCACCTCGTGGAGGTGGTTCCAAACCAGCTGTGCCGTGCTCAGTTCGGAGGTCTAGGGGGGATCAGGATAAAAGTGAGTGGCAGCCATTGGCTTAAAATCCCCAAATGAAGAAAGTGGTTAGAAGAATTTGTCTCCAAGGTAGGGAAGAAGGTCATTGAGGAAGGCGATGGTTCACATTTTATTGTATACCATATGCTTGTTCTAATTCAAAAACTGAACTGAAGCCAGCCTGGCTGGCTCAGTGGGTGGAGCATGTGACTCGATCTCAGGGTGGTGACTTCAGACCCCACCTTGGGTGTGGATCCTACTTAAAATTTTTTTAATTGAATTTAAAAGAATATATTTAAATACTTAATAAAACATTAAAATGAGAAACAAACTGGAGTTGCTGGAGTTTTAACAAAGAAGTGGGAGAAGGGTCCAATTCAGACCTTTCTAGTGAAAAACACAGGGTGGTCATCATGCCCCAGACGTCAAGGCCCCATTGGTGAGGCCTCATCCCCAAACAGACCAGCCTGGGGAAGGGGGAGCTGGGCAGGTCCACCAAGATCCTCCGCTCACAACCACCACCAGAAGCAAAGGAACACAGACTTGTACATAAGCCAAAGAAGAAAATACAGAGATAAGCCACAGACAAGGGAAGCAGAGATGGGGTTGGAAGGGTGCGTTAGTGTCTCAGTGGTCAACCAGCAAGTGCAAAGCCCAGCCTGGCCCTCTGCTCAGAGAAGGCTGTAGTCCAAACTGGTATTTACTGTCCCCCAGAGGCAGCGGGAAGCCATGGAAAGAGCCTCACGAAGTCAGCCCCTTTGCAGGAAGCTCCAGACCCTTGGCTCTGGGGTGGGAGTACCTGGTTGCCCTTCATGCGTGTTTGCTTCTCCCGGCCTTCGGGAGCCTCCCAGCGCCTGGTCCTGTGCACTCATCATGCCCTGCAGTCCAGTGGGGAATTACTGTAGACCAACGATTCCAGGAGCAGGCTGGGAAGGCTTCGCAGAGGGCAAAGGTGACAGGAACTGAGCTTTCTGGCCCGTTTGCCAGGCAGACTTGGAAGGAAGGGAACACCAGCCTGCCTAAGAGGTTGCTGCCGCAGTAGTATGGTGAGAAGAACACACTTTGAACATAGGGAACCCCATCCAGAGACACACACTAGGACATGAAGGCATAGATTCTCCAACTTGGTTACCTATGTGGCTCCCTAGGGACAGAAATGGGAATGTCTCAAATACCATGGGTGTCACGTCGAAGGTGGTGACCCCGAATGTCATTTGGGTCAATAACACATCAGGAGGTGGATGGTTGCTTTGGGCGATAGGCTAGGTGAGTAGGCCACAACTCCCCAGCAAGCAGGGGTCTGGGGGTGAGGGGTCCCTGGCTGAACACTAAGCTTTGGTCAGCCCGCAGACTACTCTAACGCCGGTCCTGGAGCCCGCGCGTCCCTAGGCTGCGAGCTTGTATGCTTGGGTCTGCCCAGGACCCTGAGCTTTGGTGGCCTGGGACACATGGGTGGGGGGGAGTGATGTATCCTGGGAGGAAGGGGCTAGGGTTAAAGGCCGCTGCCCAGGCTGCCCCCGAGGAGGCGAGAAGGAAGGCGGGGTAGCCCCAGCCTCAGGAAAGTCTTGCCCCCTGCCCCTGGGATGCGCTGCGGAGGGCCTGGCTGTGCGAGGTCTGGGCTTTGGCTGTGGACGGATTAGGTCTGATCCGATTAGAGCCTGAGCTCTGGGCTTCGCCCCCTTGCCTGGCGCTGCCAGCGCCCGCCCCGCCCCCGTGGGCACCCGCAGACCTCCCTGAGACCCTTCCCCGCCCGGAACACGGCATTGGCGCAGAAATCCGAGAGGCTCCGTGCGCCCCGGACTCGGCTCATTTCCACAGCGCGAGCTCGGGCTTCCGCCCCCTGCGGCCCTTCCGAGCCCCGCCCCGAACTTGCGGGTGTCTGGGCCCCCGCCTCCGTGCTCGCCGCGTGGCGGGTGGGTTCCTCGCAGGTGGGGGGGCCCGTGCCAGCCCTCCGCGGGGAGGGCGGGCCCCGTCCCGCAGGTCTCCCGCCCATGCACCTGTCGGCTAACGCCACGCGCGGCGCTGTGCTCCGCATCCACCCGCGCTACTCCAAGTCCGTTTGTCTCGGCGTCCCGAGCCGGGGGTCGGTCTGTCCCCGGCAGGCGGACCGAGCAGGGCAGGCGTCAGAGCTACGTGCGGCGGGGCGGGCGCGGCGGGCGGGGTGGGGGCGGCGCTGAGCGCGGCAGCGGCGGCGCGGGAGGCGGGGAGGCGCGGCGCGCCGGGGACAGCGGCGGACGGCGGCGGCGGCATGCGGCTTCTCGCGCTGCCCATCGTGGGCTGAGACGGCCGCAGCGCGGGCGGGAGGCGCGGCGGCCGGCGAGCCGGGGGCGCACCCAGCCGGGCAGACCGCGGACAGCGGTCGGGGCGCCGCGCCATGGGCCGAGCCGGGGGCGGGGGCCCGGGCCGGGGGCCGCCGCTGCTGCTGCTGCTTCTGGGGGCCACGCTGGTCCTCGCTGCCGGGGCCGCGCCGGGTAGGTACCGACTGCGACCGGGACCCCAGTGGCTCTCGCGCCTCACCCTGGGCCAGGGTCCCGCTGGCCTCGGGTACAGGCGGAGTTCGCGATCTGTGGCAAGGGGGCGGGGCAGCGCCTTGCCCGCGACCGGGGCGGGGGAAGGGGCGCGCGAAGAGGTGGGGTACTTGGGGGATGCCGAGAAGTCGGGGGCGGCCCCGACCGGGGTGTGCGGACAGGGGTGCCGGCTGGGGGTGGGGCCTGAGTGGGCGGGGCCTAAGGGTGAGACTTCGGGGCGGGACCTGGAGGTGATGGGGCCCTGAGGATGCGACTTCAGGGCGGGGCCTGGGGTGGGGCGGGGCCTTGAGGGTGCGACTTCAGGGCGGGGTCTGGAGGTGGGGTGGAGTCCTGAGGGTCAAACCTCTGCCTAGGGCCGAAGGTGGGGGCCGCCCCGTTACACTGCGGACCCTGTCGGGGGCGGGGCATGGGCCTGAGGGGCGGGGCCTGAGCGGGAAACGCAGGGCCGGGTGTGTTCCCCGCCTTGGGGGACGGGGGGCGTGGCCTTGGGAAACCTTGTTCCGGAGTCTTCGGGTGGGCGGGGAGGCTGGGAGAGCAAGCCGCGGCGGGGGGCGGGGCCTTGACGTCGTGCCCTCTCCCTCCCGCCCACAGCGCGTGAGGCGGGCAGCGCCGTCGAGGCCGAGGAGCAGGTGAAGAGCGTCCTGGAGTGGAAGCCGCGTGCCAACGGCACGCGGGAGAAGGCCGGCCCACCAGCTGCTGGAGAGGATGAGACCTCGTGGACTGCACCTGGCGGCCAGCCGGCCGTGGTGGGCACTGGGGTCGGGCCAGAGGAGGCACTGGAGGCGTCCGCGGCGGTGACCGGCACCGCCTGGCTGGAGGCCGACAGCCCGGGCCTGGGTGGAGTGACCGCAGAGGCCGGCAGCGGC